CTGAAGACGTAAGTGGTGTGGTGGCCACTGGCGCTGGCTTGTACATTAATTTGTGCCCGCAAGTCATTGTTGGGCCAAATCGCATTCAAATGGAACTACGAAGAGAATGCGTGACCAATTTTGAAACGGGACTGAATGCTTTATCCTTTTATCCTTTGTCCTGCATTTTTAGAAACAGTGAGAATCGGTGGATGGATGTCATGTACTAATAATTAAGGTCGCATCACGCAGACAAAGTAGCACTAGAGTTTGCTTACGTTCCTCGTTCAATTTACTATCAGAGCCACATAGCAGGCATTTCAGAGCCAGACACAAAAGTTCTAGAGGTCCTGTAGAATGTTTGTAGAAGAAGTAACCAAAGCGTGACTTACTATCAGCATCACTGCTCCAGCGATAATTTCGTCCAAGCGATCCTGATCAGCTAACATTTGCGATGAGTGTGGAGATCCTCGTGTCGGACACTAAGGTGTTATGATGAGTCTAACAGTGAACCTACTATCTACGCACAGATATTTTCACCACCGATGGTGAAAGAAGAAGCAAGATAACTTAGTGAAGAGGAATTCCCAACCAACAAGAACATATAGTAAACATCTTTTGCGCAAAAGGAAAGCAATAGGATTTGTTTATTAACAATAGGATTTGTTTGGAACGCCAACGATTTTGATTTCAACGGAGGAGGAAAGTGCAGCACACTTATTTCACATCAGGGAAGGACGTATAAGAGTCGTCCGAGCAGAGGCACGAATACACACTGAAATCTTGGTTCTCTACAAGACGTGCATTCAAAGTGGGCGTGGTCGATCTCTGGCTAGACGGATATCTGCTTAGGTTTACATGGCAGAGATGAACATTCATTCCAGTTGGTGGAGTGAACATTTCAATCATAAGGCTGTCCGCGGATGTTTGAATTTGCGGTGATTCGGAGTCATACACTTGATACAATACTTCAGTTTGCCGAAAAATATTATTTGCAGGACGAAATAATCGTGAATTTCCGAGTGCCAGGTTGGCGACAACAGCTTTCTGCTATCCATGTGAAATTGGTGGGATGTTTTGCGGTGCCTTAAAGCTCGTTTTGAGATCTGTAGAAGCTTTCGAGATGGAGGACTTGAAAATATGCTCCAATTTTTCATTTATCCAGATTGTGAAACAGTCGCAGGCTAGGATTACCGCAGTATACTACAGCACGTAAACAATCGTTTATAGGGGCATTGCAATCACTCTACGACAATAATCTAATCTCTCAACTCTGCAGAAAAAAAGCTAGCAACGATTAGCATTAGGTTGTCCCATAATTAGTGAATCACTTTATATTTACTGCTATGAAAAATCCAAGAATGGTAAAAGACGTAAAACACGTTTTGCCAAGTAGCACCCACATTTTCCTACCTGAGCATTTAGTCAGCCACATTTATAAGATGCGTTACATGGCTAGTTCATCAATTTTTCTGAAACCTATTTTTGAGCTCCCCTCTTGGTCATATACCTTCTTACTAGGACACCTTTCAAACGCCAAACAACATTGTGGATCAACCAGCAGATAGGCTAGGGCACGGTCGCTCAATCCACGGTGCACCTATGATTGACTCTATTCCGGGGTTGAATTTATTATTTGAAGATGACCCACACTCCAGGTACCCTTCGACTGGCAATCTCACTGCCCTAGCCAGCGCCACTAAGAAGGGAAACTGAACAAACTAGTTTCGCTATTTGCTAGAGCGTATCGCGCAAACTATGTTAAATGTGGGGAATGTAGAACCTTATTCCCGTAAGAGTTGATTTCAATGATTAAAAAATACAGCGAAATCTCGTTCCTTTCCGTCACTGTGCCCAGAATCAGCTGTCAGACATCGATCCTACATCGTCATGCTGCCTATCTGATCTCTCAGTACGGTCCTTAATCAACGATTATCCAATTCATTCTCCCGTGATCTCGTGGACTGCGGTGGAGTGTGCTAGTTCAAATCCACAAGGATAGGTGGCCTATCTTAAACGATGAAGGGCGGAAGTGGTGTAGTGGCAAGTGGCGCGCTTACCACGCGAGCCGGTCCGGGATCAAATCCTGGGTCGTGAGTCGCCCGGGCCAACCAAGCCTTCCATCCCTCCGGGGTCGGTTAATTGGTACCAGACTTGTCTGGGAGAATAAAAAACTTCTGAAGCATCGCTGTAACCGGCAAGACAATGCTTCTTTTTTTCCAGAGGTCGTTTGACCCCCAAGCCTTCCAGAGACATTCAAAACAGTTGGACACATCGCCAGGCAACAGTAACCTCCTACTTCCGATCGTGTGAGGACCTAAACGTCGTGTCACAACAAAACCGACACCCAGCCTTGCTCTAGCCCTCTTCCTCAAAAGAAAATTTGCGCAGAGAGACATGGCCCCGAACCCGACTTCCGGTATTTCGTCGTTTACAAGAGCTCCTGCAATTTCAGGGGACAACGAATAAATTCCCATGAACAGACAATACGTGTTGTAGATGACAGAGGTGTACATTTGGATGAGCAAGAGCTTCGAATGAAAACGAAAGAAATTCGGGTGCATATATACCCAAAGTGATTCACTAATTATGGGACAACCAATGTAGTACAATAAACGCAGGTTCCTTAAGAAAGTGCCGAGAGGTAGCTGATCTGAGGGAGCGCAGATATACATGAAACACTACAGGGTTGGGAGGCGATTGAAGGAAACTAAAGAAACCCGCTTTCAGACATGCAAGCGTTTTTTCAAAAACCGGTTTTGCTGGGCTGATATTGGACAGCGTGCCGCCTACGCGTGCCTGGCCCCGCGCGTGCATAGAATATAGAAAGTACGCCTTTATTTTTTTCTTGAGTGACCTCTCGCAACAGCGACATGCAGGTTTGCTTGCCGCGGAAAGTTGGTCTATGGTTCATCAAACCCGTCATGATGAGAAATTTTGCAATTCTTTGATGGCGCTTACGTCTGCCCCAAAATGGCACCCGCACTAATAGATTGATGTCATAACCACCATCATTGCAAATCATCAGTAACCCATACGATATAAGGTTTTTGTTCAAAAAATGATGTCAAGAACAAGGTGTGGCCGTCTCTGACTTTTTTTTAACCACATTTTTGGCATCTAAAGAGCCACTCAGGAAAAACGAACCACTATGGTTCTGGGTTTCATGTATGTGTCCCTACATCATGCAAACGGTTTTGAAAAAGCGGCCACGATCTGATACACCTTCCTGGTAAGGTAGTCGACAAACTGAATTATACACAGTGACGAAATCATGCGAGATGGTATGAACAGCGATGCGCGGGACTCGAGGACTACATATATCCTTGCTGCGAGAAAGATTAACGATCAAACCATGGTTTTTGATAGACATGATGGAGGGGCAATACAGTTATTTTCCTACACTACGTACAACACCACAACTCGAGCCTCAAAAGTGGAAAGGATGTTCTGGCGCTTATGGTTAGAGAACTGAATGTTTCGGAACATCTGATCTCTGATGAAGAACATGGGCTGGATGAACGAGAGGGTTAGTCCGGTTGTGCACACTCTGCACGGACTAACAAGAAACTTATCATGATGGGAATGCGTTAAACGAATCCACTCGAGTCCCTCCCTCTTCCTTTTACCCCTGAAGGGACTGATGGAGAGGCCATTCGAAAGTCATCCTCTACGCCGACGACATCGCCCTGATAGCGGATAGCAGAGGTGAAGTTTAGGGCAGGATGTAAAAATGACCTATGCTGGTAGAAGGTGAGCTCCTAACCGTGGAAAAAACTACGCTCATGAGCATTGAAGATAGACAGCGCCAACTGTCGATGGCCATGGAGAGAGCATCGAAGAAGTGGAGGACTTGCAATACATTTGAAGTCTTTTATCTAAGCCTGACGGTCGGTGAGTAAGCGCAGTAATAGCACGCGATTCAAATCAGGATGTGAGTAAGATTGATTAACCCGGGATTCAGATACGATTAATCGGTGTGCAGTACACACTTGACTGACAGCCTGTGCCACCTGTTAAGTTGCCGTTCTATCCGGCGCTAGGCAAATGTATGAAGGATCATATGCGGCTCCATTTCGTTGAACATAGATAGCTTGCGTGGCTTGTGACCGGATACGATGACAGGGTTGAATCAGAGGAGTCGGAGCGGTTATGCGGCAGCCCACGACCAGCTGAAGGTGCAGAAACAGCCACTGCGTTGCTATGAGCGTGTACCAAGGAGGCACCAGAGTCACCCGATGAGAAGGGTTCGGACTTGGCAGTCCAGGGGAAGCAGCGAAAAGAAACCTAGAGCAAAAGATAGAGGGACGTCATTAAGGAGGACCTCACAGAAGTCCGGGCCTCGGCATAATATGCCGTGGACAGGACAAAGTGGCGACGGCTACGATGACGACTGAATGTGTTGAGGGGACGACTTGATCCTTCAATTTGCACAAGTGGTACCGCGGTCTCATCTGTTTTCAATATTTATCCTGCTTTCGAAAAGAATCTCGTCCGATGTGAATGTCATTTGTTGCCTAGTTCGCTTCGAAGTTGGAGATACGGAACTCGATGACAATCTCGTGCCCGAATGCTGCCGATCTCCCGACGACTTGAGTTGTTCGACCTATTCTGAGAGCGACTTCAGATTCGAATTCTTCCCTCTGTTGATCTGATACCATATGACGATCAACCTGCGTCGCACGTATGTCTCATGTGCCAGTCGTTCCTCGTTACCACCACTAGGGTGGGGAGGGTGTCGAAGACCTGACAACGGTAGAGAGCTCGATGCCCCACAATAACCGCGAAAGGATCGCCGCCTAGCTCTCGCAAAGGAGGCATCCACGGTAAATCGGAACTCCACTCGAGGAATGCTCTGTCGTGTTGCTCCTGCGATCAAAAGGGAATGCTTTATAATGGCCTGCTCCAGCAAAACCGGACATACACAGTTACCGTAGTACACAGCATCCAACTCCGGAAATTCGGATTTCCGCGCACACGATCAAAATGGCAGCACCCTCCACCGCTTGCAAAAGGGCCCGAGATCGAATTTGCAAAGAGTTGTCTTGAACCCGGTTTCCCACCTATCCCACTCATCTCACCCCCTCAGTATTTCATTACTCCAGCGTCTAAAGCAGTTCTGTGCGCAGAAAGAACTTGCTATTTTTGATAACCTCAGAACCATCTTCTCACCAACGTTCTCCTTCCTGAGAGGGGAGATTCGGCGATTCGGCTGCTTGTTGAAACAGTGTCATAGATAGTGATGGTGAGTAAATAGTCAATTGAAGACTTCAAATAAAGCTGTTAGGCAATTTTTGAAAATTTATTCCTCTCTTTTAGAAAAATAATCTACAAATTTTTTAACAAATACAGGTATCACGCTACACCATTACAATCAACGTCGCTGCATAGCAGGTAATTTTTGGATGCTGACTGTCCAGAAATATTAAGATTCGAGGCTAAAAAGTCC